TCCTGCTGGATAGTTTCTCTCTACACCAGTCCTTGATTCTCTGATCACTGATACTGTCCAAACAATGTAAAAAATAAAAGTTAAACATTTAAAACTGAATTTCTTTCTGGTTTGTTTCTTCACAGATCCTTGTTGCTTTAAGGCATCTTCATTTCAAAAATATTGTTCATTGTGACCTCAAACCAGAAAATGTGTTGTTGGCATCAGCTGATCCTTTCCCACAGGCAAGTAGAAAATGCCCTTTCTTAAGATAAATTGTTCCAATTAGGAAGTGTTAGCAATGATTATTTTATTATCAAACAAAAAAATGACTAGTGACCTCTCTCTAGCTCCTCCAGGAACTACACAGAATTTTTAGATATGAAAAAAATGATCAGTTAAACTTTCCAGAGAAGACATGTTTGAAAATCCTTGCCTTTTGTCATTTGACCATGATATTCAACTAGATTTTAAAGTGTGACCTAACTACTTGTGTGACCGCTTCTAATTTGCTCATCATCACAGCAGAAATTACATATCTGGTTGTTTTGGTCCAGATAAGTGACAATTTGCAAGAAGTCACTGGAAAGACAATTATTTTTCTGAAAGTTGTGGTAGAGCTCATGAAGAACAAGAGCTGCTTCTTTAATTTCATGAATTTAAATGCCAGGTACATTGCAGAGTATTTATATATATTTTCTGGCTCGTTGTATTTCTCATTAAATATCAGCTCCTGTTACCTTTGATCTGCAGCGTTCATCTATAATCTCCTACAACTGCTCATATTCAAAAGGAGCACTATGGATAATTTGTAGATAATACCAATATCAATAATTGGAAAGGAAGGATCTGTACTGAGGTGTTAAGTGAGAATTTTTAAGCAGCTTAATCTGTCGCTCTGAAGAAATCAGACAAGGAAGTTTGCAGAGAGGCAGGGTGTAACTAGGTCCACAATAAAATGAAAGTAGAAGTTCAAGAACTGAATTTTGTCAACTTGTTTGATTTGGGAAAAAGCCATAGGAAGAACAATTTTTCTCTTTGCCTTTTTTTTATGCTATGAATGAATGAGTATTACTTTGTATTACTTTTCACCAAGAGCCTAAACTGTTAGGCCCATCCAAAACTGTATTTTTTTAATTCTAAGCTGTCCTGTGTTACTGCTTTTACTGTGGTTTATTCATGGAGTGAACGAATAGAGGAGATACAACGGACTGGTAATCTTGTCTAACGTCTCAGTGGAATAAGGGTATTCCTCTCAAGGAAGAGTTTCCTTGAAGAAACAGTAGGAGATACATCTTGGAAGTAAACCACGATAAAAGTTCCTCAAGTTTGTATTTGATAACAAAACCAATGTCTGGCTTACTATAGCACTTTTCTTTAAACAGGTAAAACTTTGTGATTTCGGCTTTGCCCGAATCATCGGAGAGAAATCCTTTAGGCGGTCAGTTGTAGGAACGCCAGCCTATCTTGCCCCAGAAGTGCTGAGGAACAAAGGCTATAACAGATCTCTGGATATGTGGTCTGTGGGTGTTATCATTTATGTAAGCCTCAGTGGTACCTTTCCATTCAATGAAGATGAAGATATACATGACCAAATCCAGAACGCCGCTTTCATGTATCCACCTAATCCATGGAAAGAAATTTCTCATGAAGGTAATACCTGTTTGTGGCTGGTTTTATATAAATGCTAAAAAAGAGTAGTTGTATTTTGCTTTTATTTTTTTTTCCCCTGTACATACTGGTAAACAAACAAACAAACAAAAAAATTAAATTTCAAGGTACCATAATGTAAAGTCTCTGTTTTGTGCTCTCAGCAGCTTTAGACATTTCCTGCAGAGGATGGTTAGACTGCATATGGCATAATCCTCTAGTGTGGGATCTCTCTAGGAGGTGTTGAAGGAGGCACCTATAGGTTGGGTTGCTATAGAATCTTGTGGGGAACCTCAGCTGCTGGAACTGGTGTTGTTCTTTAAAGAAGGTAAATTAATTCTATTAAAGATGTCTCTGAACACAACTAGTAGGGCATTTAACAAAAATAACCATTCCGGTTTAGCTAACATTTGTTTTTTCATAACAAACGTTTTCAGGCAGTTTCATTTTCTTTAGGATTTTTTTTTTAAATCATTGTCTTTTTGTCCTTAACTTTTTGCAAGATTGCTTCATAAGTCTTAAAGCAAAGGGAACATAAACATCAGATTCTTCTCGGTTTTTCTGAATTGTGATATCTACCAAATGGAATTAAAATATTAGCATTTACAATTTCCATTACTTACAGTACAGTTTTTCTGGGTTGCAAGTGATTAGTTTAACCGTACTTGTTAATGGTAGCTTTGAGAAATGTGCCTACTGCTTACTATAATATATAATAGCCGTGTAAGATTCTTGGCTGAAAAATGCTTGGAGAGCATTGTCTGTTGTTTTATTTCGGTGGCAGATGAAGTTTGATGAGATCTGTTGGGGAGGAAAAAAAAAAAAAAAAAACCCAAAAAAAAGGCAACTATAAATCTGCACAATTACAAACTGAAGTCCTCCTGAACCTCCACACACTCCTGATATGTAAGCTGACAGAATCTGTTGGCAGCAATGCTTTATCTGGCGCTAGAGATAAGAAAACAGCGATCAACACAGAAGAGGCTGCAAGAAAATTGTCTCCACAAGTTTCTACTGTGGTAGACAGAAGATCAATTTCTACACTCAGAGGTGAAGATTCAGTAGAGCACCTACAGAAAACTCACCTACTGGAGTGTTATCTCTCCTTTCATAGAATCACAGCCTTCATTAAGAGTTAAGGGCTTACCAGGCTGCAAGCCTACAGAAAGGGTGGGAAAGAACACATTTTAACAAATTACTAAGTTAAAATCTGCTTATACATTGTGATTTTATTACATATTTTGAATTCCTAGCTAATGAGCCACTCTATTGTGCTAAACAAAAACCTGAAAAAAGCCTGACCAGATCCATTATCTTTTACACAGGGAGTTGGAGTCTAGATCTCTCTTCAAGTATTACTTGATAATGATGACTTTTAGAGCTCAAAATTGAACTCAAACTCCAGATTAGCTAGGGGAAATAAAAGAACGGTTTTGTCATGTCAGCTGCTGTGGTCCACACTCCTGTGCAGGTCACAAGAGAGCAGGTGCCTGGGCCTTGCTGGCCCCATCCCATTTGTGTTATCTATGACCACATAGCATGGTTAAGATGTGTCCTGACACGTCTAATCGGGATTACAATTCTGAGCAGTGCCATGATGATTGATGCCATAAATTGTTGAAGCATTTGAGGGAGAAACACAAATGATTATTTAAAAATTTTATGAAGTTGCTTACTCAACATTGCAAATAACGATGATTTGAAAAGGTTTGTGTAATTAAATGTGAACTATGGTAACATGAAGCTCATTTCAAGCTAAAATACACTCACTAGGACTAATAAATTTCTCTGCACTAAGTGCTATATATTTACAAAATTCAGACAAACGATTGGTTTCAATCCTAACGGGTTACGTTCGTGCACTTGAAAATCTTTTTTTAGCTTGTCATAGGCTCTTCCAGCTTCCCAAACAGGTTAAGCTAATGAATGGGGTATTTGTCTGTCATATCTTTTCCATTATTCTTTTTGCCAATTATTATTAATCATTGAAGATCTTCCAACAGAAATTTAAACATACATGACTATGATTATTTTAATGTTTTAATTTTCATACGAAAAGATCCATAATAGATTGATTTTAAAGGCACAATAGATCTCTTGTTTAACTATGTCCTGGAATTTGTATCATAGCAATAATTCTCCCAAGAGGACATTAATTATCATCAACTAGTTCTTCCACTCAGGCTTGTAAGGGGATTATGTAGCAGTGTGGAATATAATTCTGTAGCAGAATACAGCAAGATCTTTATAAATAAAGATTGATCAACCTATCTCTTTCAAGCTGGTATGATTTGAAATTGCTGCTTATCTTGGAGGATCTACATAGATATTTACTTGTAAGAAGCACTATTCTTTGTTTTAAAATTAAAACAAAATTATTTAAGTTACATTTTTGTTTGTAAGAAAGAAAAGATGTTGAAGATGCAGCAGTTAGTACAATTTATTTATTGACATTTAAAAATTTTTGCAAATATATGAGAACTTTAACACATAATAAACAACTACAGTTTTCACAGAAGCCTTCACCCAAAATTTTGCTGCACTGTTATAGCATTAAATAATTAAAGCCAAAATTAATTAGACAAGTATTATTGCCACAGATGAAAGAAATGTAAAGTAAGTGTTATCTCTAATGGAGGTAAGAAAGATCTTTTTGAAGTGTTTTGTTGTGTGAATTTGAAAAATAGGAGCCATATGTCAGAATGTTACCATAAGTAAAAGCAATGTAAATATTCTTCTTTCTTTCTCCATTACGTTCCGCATTCTTCTCATATGTCCAGAAGACACTGCTGGGTCCAAACACTCTTTATAATGGACTCTATGAATTGTAGATTACAGCTAGATTTTACAAGTGGTACCTTCATCCAGAGACTATGTTATATGCCTCAGTAATAGCATATAGAGTGAATTTAAAAATTCAGTGAACTTAGAAGAGCTAGGCAATCATCTAAGAGAATTAATATTAACTCTGATTTATGCATGCCAACAAAAATGCTTAGGTTCTCTGACCACATAAAATGCAATATGCATGGCTTTTTTCTTTTTTTACTGCTGAAATATGTCAGTACCGGTTGCTATGAATGTTCATAATATGATAATCCTAGAAACACTGTTGTAGAACAGTGAGAATTAGTAGAAGGCATTGTATATCAAGTTGAGCTAAAAAAAAAAAAAAAGTTTTTTTCAAACCTATTGCTGTCTATATCAACAATCCTGCTTGATACCTAAAGGAAGTGATGGCAGATAAGACAGATACCCTAAACTATAGGTAGGGGTTTTACTTTATAACTGTAAAGGGTTAGGGTCACAAACATATGCAGCTGATACACCTGAGCTACTTACATCTTAAACTGCAGTAACTTGTTTGAAATGTTGAGTATCCATTTTTAGTGGAATGGTAAATGTTTGTGGTTTTTTTACCTTGTTATGCAATTTTCAGTTTAGATTAAGGGAAGTGATCATCAACCAAGTGTATTGCTAAGTGTCTGTGAAACAGCAATTTTATGAAAGGGCATGTAATTTGTTGCAGGATGGCTAATGACAGCAGCGTTAGGAATTTTTGCATGCCTATTGCAAAAATTGACACTGAGGAAAGCAGAACAGCTCTCAAACCTTTTGTTTCTTGCTTATGACTATTACTGTGGCTCAGACAGACAAATTGGATGTAAAACTTCTTGCAACTGTAGTTATTTCAGTGCTCTTTTCAGACCATTACTCACAGTAATTTATTAGCTATTAAGAATAGCTAAACTTAGTTATTGCCATGTTTACTTCCATTTTCATTGTAATCAGAGAGGGATTAAAAGATCAGTATTTTACTTTTTAGCAAAATCACATATTTCTTTGCATTTAATGGATAGTGCACAAATTAGAGTGAATGATGCTATGTTTATCACCACTTTGGTTTTAGTGCTCAGTGGATGCTTTTCTTGATACTGCCAAGCAACAGCATGTTGATGTGGGAGCTGGAATGCGGAAGGTAGCAAAACTTTAAAAGGAAAAAAAAATTAGATAGGTCATACCTAAACATTGTGTCTGGAAAAGCGACAACAGTGGTAAAATAGCCTAAATGTTCCCATTCTCTGTTCTTTATTAAATTATTCATCTTAAGGTAAAATCCAGTTGGCTTCTAAAATTCTAAACTGCACTGCTGAGGCGCAGGGGTTTTTTTGTAAAAACACATGACCCATAACAGCTTAAACTGCATGATTATATAAATAATACACTTAAAGTCTATCAGGTTCAGAGCAAAAACATATGGGAAGAAATTGTATTTTGGAGGAAAAGTGTGCCATGAATGTAAAAGTGTGGTCTGTGTTAGTTTATTTTCTTGAGAAGTACTTTTTCTCTAGCAATTTCTAGAAATTTTTTAAATAAAAATCTACAGTCACAAGCCAAGAAAGCGGGCAGAATCCATTTGAGGATAATATTTTTGTGTCTGATGTCTTTTAGTCGCTATCAACAGCTCTGTCTTCTCTGCTGCTCAGGAATGTGGTCTAGTCATTGACTATGACTCTTTTCTCTCTGTAATGTGTCTATCTGATGTTATAACATCTGGATTAATGTCATCAACTTTGCTGAGAAATTCTAGCATTTTTGTGTAATGCTTTTTCTGTCCTTTTCCCACATTAAACTTAAAAAAACTAAGACCTTTCCATTTTTATAGCTCTCAGAAATGTATTTTTTCAACTAATAATCCATTCAAACACTTCTGTGAGCATCATTTCCCAAAGCTTAGCCCTCATGCACAAAATCCCTTCTCTAACTTCACCAACCCCGACTGCTTTACATTTTAAGGTTTCTGATTCCTCCGTAGGGGATTCTGATTTCCACCATCACTAAGCAGCTGCGTTTTCCCACCTTTTTCCAATATCTTCTCTCTTTTGAAAGAATACTGCCCAAAAACTGAGTTTGTTTTTGTATGTCTAAATAGAATTGTAAGACATTACTATAGAGAGGTAGTTTCTTTGATGAACTCTGGTTATCTTGTAGAAAACCAGATT